AGCGACGGGGCTCCTCCTCATCACCTCCCGGCAGGCCCGCCCCTCATTCACGGACCCCTGTGGAGAAGGCTGGATTCAAAGCTGACCCCCGCCCCACCTGGACAGGCAGGGCTCCAGCAGGAGGCAGGAGAGTCCAGGTGCACCTGGGAGCCGGAGGTTGGTGGTGGGTCCAGGGAGGATGCGCTCTTTTTTTGTTTTGTTTTTGAGTTGGAGTCCCACTCCGTCCCCCAGGCTGGAGTGCAGTGGCATGCTCACGGCCACCCCGGCGTCGACTTGCTGGACTCCGGCGATCTTCCATCTCAGCCGTCCAAGTAGACGTACCTACAGGCGCACGCTATCACGCCCGGCTAACTTTTTTTTTATTGTAGAGACAGGCTCTCGCCAAGCTGCCCAGGCTGGTCTCAAACCCGTGGCCTCAAGCAATCCCCAAGTGCTGGGATTACAGGCTGAGTCACCCAGTCCAACCACAGGTGTGTTTTGAGGTCGTCCCGTTTCACATCTGCCCAGTCCTCCAAGCTGTGTGTGACCGTGGTGCCGGGAAGCCTGGGCCGCCTCCCCCTACCCCACGCCCCAGACACAGGCAGGCCAGGTCTCCAGAGCGTTTATTCTCTCGCAGGGGGAGGGTGGGGTGCAGGCGGCAGGTGAGGGGCCTACGTGTACCACACGAAGCCATAGTTGGCGTTGAGGACCTCCTCGGTGGTGCGCAGCCCATACAGCTCGCCTATCACGGGGGGCACCCAGCGCGTTGTGTGGAACACAGACTCACCCACCTGTGGGGACAGAGGGGTAAGGGTGCGGCACAGCTGCTCTCACAGCCTGCTGGGACTCACTCCCCCAGGACCAGTGGCCCCAGCATGGACCAGAAGCTATGGCCTTCCCTCTTGGAACATGGCCCTCGCCACCCCTTCGTCCCGGGGTTTCCTAGGGGAGGCCGTGTGATCCCCTTCGCCCTCTCTGCGGTGGCCGGGACCCCAGCCTTTTTAGCCAGGCACCCACCTTCCAGTCGGGCACATCCTTCATGATGATGGCCTCCTCCTCCAGATTCTCCCGGAGCATCTGCAGGATTCTGTGGGATGGAGTGGGAATGAGGACAGGGTCTGAGCACCCAGAAGGGCACCCGTCTAGGCCAGCAGCCAGCCCAGCCCCCCAGCCTTCTCCTTTCCCTCCCCCGGCCAACTCCCACCCTCTGCCCTTCACCCCGCCCCAGCCCCAACATGCCCTCCTCCAGGATGCCTCCCTGTTCTCTCCCCTCAGATCTCCACCAAGCCACGTCTCTGACCCTCTTTGAGGGTGACAGCAGCTCTGTGTGCAAGAACGCAGCTTAGAGTCCCCCGGGCCTGCTGGCCACTGTCCTGGGTGCAGGTCAGGCCTGTGACCTGCCAAGCCTGGCCCCAAGGCCCTACCTTCGGTCCCTCTCTGCCTGCAACAGCGGCATCAGCGCGATGCGGGCCTCCAGGTCCTCAATCTGTAGGCGCCTGCGAAACCCCACAAGTCCCACCTGGTCACACCAGGCTGAGAGGGGTGAAGACAGGCAATCCGCTCTCAGACACCCAGGGCGCTGCACAGGGAAGGGTTGAGATGGAGAGGCCAGGGGCAGCCTGGAGGGTGGTGGCAAGAGGCAAGGAGGGACGGAGCAGGCAAGGGCTGGGCAGAGCTCACAGGAGCCTGGGATGAGGGTGGACAGCTGCGTGGGTGCCCACGAAAAACTTTTTTTAGCCTAAAAACAGCCCTGTCTGATGATCTCAGTGAAGGGGGCTTCACAATGGGGCTCCAGACCTTACAAAACCTTATTCATCTCAAAAAAACCTTAGGGTGTGAGGCTGGAGCAGGGGGGGCGGTGCATCATTCCTGTCTCCTCTCTGGGCTAGCTACTTCCAAGTTCCCTGCAGTGAGCCCCACCCCAGGCCCAGGACACAGAGATGAGAAGGGGGCACTTGGCCCTAGTCCCTCTCTCCCCGAATGGCCACTGCCTCATGAGGGCCAATAAACAGAGCACTGAGTCCCAGCCTGCAAGCTTCCGGGGCCTAGGCCTCAGCTTTATTCAAAGGCAGCTGCACCCGCACCACATGGGCACAGCACTTGTGGCCCTGACAGCCAGGCACCCACAGCCAGCCGAGCACTTCTCAGAGGTCGCTCCATCTTACCTGCGCTCACGGTTCCACTTCATCATGCTCCAGTACCCGAAGAGCAGGGTCCCAACGCCCAGGGCTAGCATGCTGTAGCCTGCAGGGAAGGTGCGCTCAGCACTGGGGCCAGGCTGCCCACACCGCCCCCCCCCTTTCCTCTCCTGAAGGAGCATCTGCCCGCCTTGCAAATGCTCCAGAAATGCACACGAGGGTAAAGGTGACAGCCTCCCGTGGCCCCCACCCAGAGGTGACAACTGCAGGCTGGTACGCATTTCTTCAGCCTCCCTTTCTGTGTCTGGAGAGGGGCCCTGGCCTCCCAGGACACTATCCCTCCTCAGCAGTCTGAAGCAACAGCTGCGGCCGGCTGTCATCCGCTCTGCAGTCAGGGAACACCAGCAAATTTCCTCTTGCGAATGAGGCTGCCTCCTCTGTCTCTGCCCCAGGATTCCTGGAAGGTATATACTAGACAGGGACTGCAGGAGGGTCCAAGGGTCTAGAGGTAGTGGCTGGTTGGCCCCAGCTCCACCATCTTCTGGAAGGTTGCTTGAACCCTGGACAGCAGGTTGCTCCCACCTGGAAGGGCAGCTCTGACAGTGCCCGTGGCTGGGTCTCAGCTCCACGGTGATTCCCAGCTGCTCGGGCCACCGCCCACAGGAGCTGCCAGAGGCAGACAGTGCCCTGCGGGAGCTGCACAACCACCCCTGGGCCCCAGGGGTGGTATTGGTACTTCCTGGCCCTGCAGGGTTGAACCCCCTGCCCTGCACCCCAGGGGGGACAGAGGTACCATAAATGTTTACTGAGCACCAGCCGGAGCCTTGTTCTAATCCTGACTGACGGGCTGGGGGCCTGCTGGGGTATTCAGGGAGGCCTGGGCCACCAGTGATCTGACCCCCTGGCTCGTCCTGCACCCCCAAATCTTTTAAGCCTCATTCTCTTCTCTAGATGGCCCTGGTGGATACTGGAGCAAACTGACCAGCTCAGGCAGGTTGTGTGCCAGTGAACACCCGGAAACGACCAGCGGGTGGGGAGTGGGCACCCCTGGGCCTCCTGGGGTTGGGCCAGAGCCCTTACTCCGACCCAACTGCCCTGGCCTGCCGGGGCTGCTAACGTCCCTGTCCTGAAGGAATTCTTCAGTTGGGCTCTGGCAAGGGGTCGCCTGGTACTTTGCTAGATTCAGAGATAAATGAGAAACTGGCTCTATTTTTACTCACTTAGTTCACCTGATAAATACACGAGCTCAGGGTAAGACATTTCTGAGTCCCAGGGGAGTCGGTGTTGAGGGTGTGTAGGGTCCAGGCTCAGGGGTACACACTCTCAAGAGGCCTCAGGGGCTCAGGACCAGACCCAGCTGTCTGCCTGTGCTGGACACCCAGCCTTCTCTCCACTGGATGGGAGTTTTCAACAGAGCTGCCTCGTCCTTTTCAACAGCTACAGGGAGCCCCGAGTCTCTGGTGTGGCAAATGGCCTGTGGAGATCCTGCAGATCCTGCACCCGCACAGGGGCACCTATGCGCAGGCCCATCTGTGAGATAAACTCCAAAGAAGAAGATGGCTTTAGGGCAACGCAGGACCCAGCAAGGCCAAGGTCCCAGATCCTCAGGATGGGTCTGTGTCTCAGAAGCCACTAGTCTGATGGGGGAGGTGGTACGGGGCATGCACAGAACCATTCTTCTTTTTTGGTGAGGAGAGGAACAGGGTCTGGCTCTGTGGCTCGGGCTGGAGTGCAGTGGCACGATCATGGCTCCACTGTGGCCTCCAACTCCTGAGCTCAAGCAATCATCCTGCCTCAGCCTCTCGAGTAGCTGATACTACAGGCACACCCACCACACCTGACTAATTTTTAAATATATATATATTTCTAGAGATGGGGTCTTACTATGTTGCCCAGGCTGGTCTTGAACACCTGGCCTCAAGCAATCCTCCTGCTTTGCACTCCCAAAGTATTGGAACTACAGGATCCCAGTGTGAGCCATTGCACCCAGTCTGGGCCATTCTTAAAGACCTAAATAAATGGAAACACTTCCTGTGTTCACAGAGCGGAGCACTCAGCACTCTGCAGATGGCAAAGCTCCCCAAAGTGATGTAGATTCAGAATGCAATACCCATCAGAATCCCAACTTTTTTTCCTTTCACTTACAGAAATTGAAAGTGGGGTGTGAAATTCATATGGAAATGCAAGGAACCAGAATAACTGAAACAATTTTGAAAAAGAACAAAGTTAGAAGACTTGCACTTCACTATTTTGAAAGTTATCACACAGCTGTGTGTACAAGACAGTGTACAGTGGCATAGGATGGATGTATTCATCAATGGACTAGAACTTAGAGTCCAGAAATAAACCCTCACATTTATGGTCAATTGATTTTGGACAAGGGTGCCAAGACAGGGGAAAAACAGTCTTCAATAAATAGAGACAGCCACAGCAGAGAACCCTTCTAATACGGCACACACAAAAGTTAACCCAAAATGGATCAAATGGCTAAATGTAAGTGCTAAACCCGTAACATTCCTTAGAAAAAAACCATAAGTCAGACTCTGTGACCTCAAACTAGGCAAGTTTCTTAGATATGACACCAAGCCAGGCACAGTGGTTCACACCTGTAATCCTAGCATCTTGGGAGGCCAAGGTAGGAGGATCACTTGAGCCCAGGAGTTCGAGACCAGTCTGGGCAACATAGCAAGACCCTGTTCTTACAAAACATCAAATTAGCTGGGTTGGGTATGGTGGTGCCTATAGTCCCAGCTACTGGGAGGCTGAGACAGAAAGATGGCCTGAGCCCAGGAGTTTGGGGCTACAGTGAGCTGTGATCATACCACCACTGCATTCCAACTGGGTGACAGAATGAGGTGCTCACTTAAAAAAAAAAAAATAGATATGACACCAGAAGCACAAGTAACAAAAAAAAAAATAGATAAATTGGACTTCATCGAAATAAAAAACTTTTATGCTACAAATGAAACCATCAATTCGCTGAAAAGACAACTCACAGAATGGGAGTATTTACAAATCATGTATCTGATAGGAGAATGGGACCCAAAATATGTACTCTTACAACTCAATTTTTAAAAAAAAATTCAATGGAAATGTATAAAGGATTTAAGCAGACATTTCTCCAAGATAGATATACAAATGGCCAAAAAGATGATGAAAACAACGTTCAGCATCATTAGTCAGCAGTGATGCAAATCAAAACCACAGCAAGCCAGGCATGATGGCTCACACGTATCATTCGAGCACTTCGGGAGATGAGGCAAAAGGACTGCCTGAGCCCAGGGGTTCAAGATCAGCCTAGGCAACATGGAAAGACCTCGTCTCTACAATAAATCAAAAAATTGGCGGGTGTGGTGGCATGCACTTGTATTTCCAGCTACTTGAAAGGCTGAGGCAGAAGGATCACCTGAGCCCAGCAGGTTGAGGCGCAGTGGCTGTGAGCATGCCACTGCACTCCAGCCTGGGTGACAGAGTGAGACAAACAAGCAAACAAACAAGTAAACAGAAAACCACAGTGAGATACTCCACATGCACTAGAATGACTACGCGCCCTGTTTGGCACATTCATGTTCCGCACGATAGTTTCCTTTCCCATCTTCATATTTTTCTTCTTCTTTTTTTTTGAGTTGGAGTCTCACTCTGTCGTCCAGAGTGAGAGAGCCCAGTCTCGAACCCTTGGACTCAGGCAATCCACTCACCTCAGCCTCCCAAGGCGCGAGATTACAGGCTGAGCCACCGAGTCCAGCTTGACTATGATTTTTAAAAAATGAAAAACAGGCCAGCGCAGTGGCTCATGCCTATAATCCCAGCACTTTTGGAAGGCCAAGGTGAGAGGACTGCCTGAGTCCAAGGGTTCGAGACTGGGCTCTCTCACTCTGGACGACAGAGTGAGACTCCAACTCAAAAAAAAAGAAGAAGAAAAATATGAAAAGATGTGGAGAAAGTGAAACTTCATACAGTGCAGGTGGGAACATGAAATTGTAGCCCCAACTCAGAAAACAGCTGGGCAGTTTCTCCTATGACCCAGCAATTCCTCTCCTAGGTGAAATTTTCCACAGGAGAAATGAAAACCTACTTCCACACCAACACTTGTACATAAGTGTTCAAAGTAGTTCACAACAGCGAAATGGATAAATGGACAGTGATAAATCCATACAATGGAATTTTACTCAGCCATAAAAAGGAACGAAGCATCAACACAGGCTACAATGGGTGAACAAACCTCAAAAACATGACACTGAGTGAAAGAAGGCGGACACAAAGGGCCACACAGCGTGTGACTCTACTGATACGAGATGGCTGGTTGTCAAGGGCTCAGGAGAGGGGAAATGGGGATGACTGCTCAAGGGGACAGGGTTGGTCGGGCTTGGTGGCTCAGCCTGTAATCCCAGCACTTTTGGAAGCGAGGAGATGGCCTGACCCCACGGGTTCAAGATCAACCCAGGCAACTTGGCAAGACCTCATCTCTACAATAAATAAAAAATTAGCTGGGTGTGGTAGCATGTGCCTGTAGTTCCCACTACTCGGAAGGCTGAGGCAGAAGGATCACCCGAGCCCAGCAGGTGGATGCTGGGGTGGCCATGAGTGTACCACTGTACTCCAGCCTGGGAACAGAGTAAGACTCCAACTCAAAAAAAAAAAAAAAAAAAAAGGGACAAGGTTTCTTTTTGGGGTGACTAAAGTGTTCTCAATTTAGATAATGGTGAATATACTAAAAATCAGTAGACTAGATACATTTTCAGTTGGTGAACTGTATGGTACGGTATGTGAAAGACATTAAAGACATGAGATAAAAGAGCTCCCCACTGGGCTCCGAGGGAGTGAAGAGGGGAAAGCAGGGTGTGAGAGGTGAGTGGAGGACGGAATAGAAGCCACTTTAGGAGCAGCGTGGATTAAAAGTGGCCTGAGCCAGTCGGGCTTATTCTGGGACATTGAGAGCGAGTGAGGAGATGGTCCAGGCAAAGAGAGGGAAGTGGATGTCAGGAGCAGGGGAGGGCGGGTCTGATGGGAGAGGGCTGGTGGGGTCCCTGGCTCAAGATAGGAGAGGCTGGAGGACAGAGGTTGGGAGCACGGGGCAGATGGAGAGCAGGGCCTTTGCCCTTGCTGTTCTCTTGGCATGGCAGTTTCCTCAGAGCACACCCTGGCCACCCCTGGCCTGAGCAGGATCACGCCATCCCAGGCCTCACCACAACTAGAAAGTTCAACAAGATATGACTTTTCTCCTCAGCTCAGCTGCGAGTTCCTGGGGACAGAGCCCAGCACCATGTGGTCACTCAGCAGTGGCATAAACAACGGCTACACCACCAGAACAGTATCTTCCTCACTCCTCTGCAGCCAGGAATGACTGGGGTGGGTTTATATGTATGAAAACAAAATCTGTGGAAAGGTGACGCCATTAGGAGACCCAGCCCCAGGCAGTGGTATTGAGGGCAGTGCCTGGCAGAGGGGGTCATTGCTGTGTCATGAACTGAAGGAGGACCAGGTAACAGGCATGATTATGACTTAAAAACAAAAGTGAAAAGCCGGACTTGGTGGCTCAGCCTGTAATCCCGTGCCTTGGGAGGCTGAGGTGAGTGGATTGCCTGAGCCTGCGGGTTCGAGACCCGCCTGGGCAACCTGGCGAGACCTCATCTCTACAATTAAAAAAATCAAAAAATCAGCCAGGCGTGGTAGCGCGCGCCTGTAGTTCCAGTTACTCGGAAGGCCGAGGTAGAAGGATTGCTGGAGCCTAGCAGGTCGAGGCTGCGGTGGCCGGGAGCGGCCACAGCACTCCAGTCTGGGTGACAGGGTGAGACTCCAACTCAAAAAAATAATAATAATAAATAAATAAAAGTGAGGACTGGTGCGGTGGCTCACACCTCTAATCACAGCACTTTGGAAGGCTGAGGTGGGAGGACTGCTTAAGCCCAGGAGTTCAAGACCAGTCTGGGCAACATAGCAAGACCTTGTCTCTACAAAAAAAATCCAAAAATTAGCTGGGTGTGATGGCACAAGCCTATAGTCCCAGCTACTCGGAAGGCTGAGGTGGGAGGATTGCCTGAGCCCAGAAGGTTAAAGCTGCAGTGAGCTATGATCCTGCCACTCCAGCCTGGGCAACAGAGTGAGACCCCCAACAACAACAACAGCAACAACAAACATCAAAAATGAGTTGCTGCAAGGGGAGAGCCCAGGGAGGCCCCTGGGGCTGGAATCCTTGAGGCCTGGTCTGGTTGCAGCCCACACAGGTGCATAAATGGGAACAGACAGGCTGGCCCCGGAGACTCACAACACACTGTACTCCTTCAAAGTGTGCTAGGACAAGAGAAAAGTGCCTGTGGGCCAAATCTAACCTGCAGTCTGTTTCTGTATGGCCCTACGGCTAAGAGCACCTTTACATTTGTAAAAGGTTGTCTCTTCAATAAAATAGGTATCTGGCCTTTTACAGAAAAAAGTTTGCCAATCTCAGTTCTGGGATACCAAGAAGGGCCTGGAGAGGACTTGAGTTTTGACCTGATATTGATAATGACTCTTCTGTCTGAATTATTGCATTTTTTATCTACCATGCACATTTTTTAAAATTGAGGCATAATTTACAAAACATGCACAGGTTTTAAACGTAAGATTCTATGAGTTAAGGCAATATTAATTACTCTTAAATTACATTTTGAATTTTGTATTTCTGTTAACCCTGGGTGCTGAGTATGGGCGCCTTTACTTTTCCTTTTACACTTTCCTGTGTTGAATCTAATAATAAAATCGGAAAATTTCGAGACTACGGATTCCTGCCAGAGAAGAACGAGCGCATAGAACATCCTACAGATTCCCTCCCGGTTCTGGGTTTTGGCCCCAGCCTTGCCCTGGGTGACCCCGGAGTCGCAGCCTCTCTCAGGCCTCAGCTTTTCCACCTGTGAAACCCAAGAGTGGCCAAGGGCTAGGGCGCGGGGTATACCAACCCCAGCTTAACCCACAGTAAAAAGGGAATGAACGGGGCCGACCTTCTGGGTTGTTACGAGATGAAAACAAATAACTGAGTCAGCGCTCGACAGCCTGCAGCACCTACTGTTACTGTGACGACCGAAGCTAGGAGGGGTCTCCCGGCTCCGACTCCCGTCACACCGCCGGGGAAACTGAGGCCCGCTCGCCTTCCCGGAGCCCCGGCCCCGCCGCAGCGCCTCGACGGCCCGGACTCTGAGACGGCGGCACAGGGTGACACTGACCTGACAGTCCTCGACGCGGCAGGTTTCGCTTGTAGTCGATGGGGCCGTAGCCCCCCGGCGGGGGCATGTCCTGCTTCACCTTCGACGCCGCCATGCTCGCAGGACCCACACTTCCGGCCACGGGCGGAAGTGACGCACCGCCAGCTCCGCCATGAAGAGTGTGGCGGAAGCACCGGCGAAGGTCTCCGGCAGTGCAGGGGAACTCGGGGCTCTAGTGTGGCTGCGCCACCGCGTAGGAGAGCCCTGGCGCGGGCCTGGGTCCGAATGCACCGCGGGGCCCCGGCCGAGGCGTCCTCATTCCCTCTTCCCCTAGACAGAGCGTGACTCAGGCGCCGGGGCGCCCTGGTCCTTGCACTAAAGGCGTTCCCCTTCCCTCCAGGGTGATGCGCGGGGCGATCAGAAACCCCGAACTCCCAAGCGAGTCGGGTGTCCCAGTTAAGCCGCCTTTTCCCGTTTTCGCCCCCTCTAGGGGCTCTGCAGAAAGCCCAGGCCTCCGCACAGTCATGGGTGGGGGTACACGAAGTTGGGGGACGGCTGCTGCGCAAATTCGGACTCACCCCAATCCCAGGGACGAATTCTCCCTGGTGACGTTCAGTACCCCTTACTAGTGGCCTCTCGTCGGAAACTGACCACTCAGGGCCATTATGAGTCACAGAGCATGAGGTGGCTGGGGAGCCCCCGGGGAGGAGTCCGGGGCCCCCACCCCCAGGTGGAGTGACGCCCGGTCACTTCACAAGGCGGAAATTGTTACGGGGCAATAAAAGGTGCCGCAGCGGCAGGGGCTGGGGAGTGGGCCCATGGGGGTGCGGGTGTGCAGGTGCCAAGCGCCATGGGTTAAGGCCCGAGATCGGAGTCCGGCCGCCCCAGACAGCAGCCGCCTCCTGCCCCCCGCGTGCCCCGGGCGCCACCATGTCGGGCGACAAACTCCTGAGCGAACTCGGCTATAAGCTGGGTCGCACAATCGGTGAGGGCAGCTACTCCAAGGTGAAGGTGGCCACGTCCAAGAAGTACAAGGGCACCGTGGCCATCAAAGTGGTGGACCGGCGGCGCGCGCCGCCGGACTTCGTCAACAAGTTCCTACCACGAGAGCTGTCCATCCTCCGGGGCGTGCGGCACCCACACATCGTGCACGTCTTCGAGTTCATCGAGGTGTGCAACGGGAAGCTGTACATCGTGATGGAAGCGGCCGCCACCGACCTGCTGCAGGCCGTGCAGCGCAACGGGCGCATCCCGGGGGCGCAGGCGCGCGACCTCTTTGTGCAGATCGCCGGCGCGGTGCGCTACCTGCACGACCACCACCTGGTGCACCGCGACCTCAAGTGTGAAAACGTGCTCCTGAGCCCAGATGAGCGCCGCGTCAAGCTCACGGACTTCGGCTTCGGCCGCCAAGCCCACGGCTACCCAGACCTGAGCACCACCTACTGCGGCTCAGCCGCCTACGCCTCGCCCGAGGTGCTCCTGGGCATCCCCTACGACCCCAAGAAATACGACGTGTGGAGCCTGGGCGTCGTGCTCTACGTCATGGTCACCGGGTGCATGCCCTTCGACGACTCGGACATCGCCGGCCTGCCCCGGCGCCAGAAGCGCGGCGTTCTCTACCCCGACAGCCTGGAGCTCTCGGAGCGCTGCAAGGCCCTGATCGCCGAGCTGCTGCAGTTCAGCCCGTCCGCCAGGCCCTCGGCGGGCCAGGTCGTGCGCAAC